TAACCTCCAAATGTTTATACTCATATGTCTACTGAATACGTCCACTTGGATGTCTCACCAGCATCTCAAACCAAATATTCCAAAATGAAGCTTTTTATTTCCTTCTCCAAATATATTTCTTCTCTTGTATTTTCTTAACTCAGTTAATTGTACCATCCAACACAGTAACTGTAGTTGTATTGTAGTAACTGGGATAGCATTCCATACTTCTCCCCATTATGCTCATAACTCAGTAAATCCTACTCATTTTTGCTTCCTAAATTGTCCTGAGACTACACTCTATTTTTCATCTGTATTATCACTTCCCTAAGCATTAGCTTATCATGTCTCACATGCATAATTGTAGTAGTATTTATCTCTAGTTTTGTTCCTTCAAGTCCATTGCATTTTACTGTCAACTCTGATTCTGTTTTATCTAGTACAAAGATTCCACAATGACATATCATAATCAACAAGTAAATTCATCATTTTTATATACTTCTCCATCTGCTTTCCCGTAGACCTCCTATTTTATCCTTATTACAATAAAAATTACTTAACTGTTTTGTAGTATACATAATACGGCTATGTCTCCTTACATGTTTGCACTTGATTTTCTCTTCTATCCCTACTCATCTTTCGCAGTGCATGTCTACTCAATTTTTCAGATTTGTCTTAGGTATCATCTCACTGAAGTGTTGTCTGCCAATCTCATACGGGTTAAGTAGCCCTTCTCGTGTTTGTTTCTATAACAGAACTTCTTACATTGTTTGGAAATTATCTGTTTACATTTTATCTTCTCACTCAAGACTGTGACCTTATCAATGACATAGTCACCCATGTGCTCCTTATCACAGTGCCCAGCACACGGACTATTTAGTAAATGGCTTTGAATGATGTAAACTAAACCTGCATGGTACAGGTATAGGGACCTATATGAAGGAAGAAAATTTAAAGTCCTATCACCAGATCTTCTCCTGGCTGTCCTCGATAACTCTGCTAATTATTTGCAACATAGGGTCAAGAAGAGAAAAGGTCAATATGAGTTTTTGTAATTTTGTTTTTAAATATACTAACATTGTCACTTATAGGAAAAATGAACAGAAATAGCATGAGCTTTAGAATCAGAGAAACCTGATTTTTCAGCTTGGGCTCCCTGATCGTAAACCACATGAGCTTGGGCTTACTGACACTGATCCTCAGTGTCTGTCTTTTCAGAATGAATATAATAGCACCTGCTTTGTATGGATGTTTTAATAATTTACAATAGTGTACAGAAAACAGCCTGGCATGCTCAATATTTTTTCATTATTACTTTATATTATAACTTTGAATATAACTATAGTATATTAAATATTTCATTTGAAAAGTGAGTTAATACTTGCAAAGCACTTAAAACAGTGCCTCACAAGTATGAGTGGATGTGTGTTTTAGTGTCTAAAATATATATGAATTTATTATGTAAAATAAATGAAATTTAATTGATATTTCATGAACTATAAATTCTGAAAAGCTTAAACTATTTTTAATTGATAATTCTATATTTCTAAAATAAACTCAACTGGAAAAAAGTGTTGAGTTTTTAAACTCAACAGTAGACACTATTAAAGCTATTCATAACTTTGAACAGCACATTATTGGTGAATGGGATAAAGAGCAAGTGAATGAGATAATAAGTGAATGAATAAAACTGTGGTCTATTTAAATATCTGGTGAATATAATTACAGTTACAGACAGGCAAGAAGGGTCCTATTTGAAAGCAAAGATGAGTCTCCCATTCTGGATTAATGCCATTTTCAGCTTTCATTGGATACAAAAACTGCTTGAAAGTTCCAAAAAGTCTAAGATATTGCTCACATTTTTAAAATGAGTTTTGATATTGTTTTGTATTTTCATTATTTTGTTGTTTTTTGTATGTCAGTGAAAGCCTTCACCAAAAGCAGTTAGCTTTTGTTTTTGGTTTTTGTCTTGTTTCTATTGTTTTTCTAATCTTCTAGGTTCAGGGGTACATGTGCAGGTTTGTTTGACAGGTAAGTTGTATGTCGCAGGGGTATAATGTGCAGATTATTTCATAGCCAGGTAATAAGTATCGTGCCTGATAGTTTTCTGGTCCTCACTCTCCTCCCACCTTCCACCCTCAAGACAGCCCCAGTGTCTATTGTTCCCTTTGTGTCCATGCATAGTCAAAGTTTAGCTTCCATTTATAAATGAAAACATGAAGTACTTGGTTTTCTGTTCCTGCATTAGTTTGGTTAGGATAATGCCCTCCTGTGCCATCCATGTTACTGTAAAGGACATGATCTCATTCCCTTTATGACTGCATAGTATTCTATGATGCATAGGTACCACATTTTCTTTATCCAGTCTATCATTGACGGGAATTTAGGCTGATTCCCTGACTTTGTTATAGTGAATAGTGCTGCAGTGAACATACACATAAATGTGTCTTTATGGTAGAAAGATTTTTATCCCTTTAGTTATATGCCCCAGAATGGGATTTCCGAGTCAAATGGTAGCTCTAAGTTATTTGAGAAATTGCCAAGCTGCTTTCCACAGTGGCCGAACTATTTCCATTCCCACCAGCAGTGTATAAGCATTCCTTTTTCTTCACAGAGGTTAAAGATTTATAGAATAGGATGCTTAGAATCTATTCCATGTTTCATAAACAGAGGTCACCTGGAAGAGTGTGTCTGTGGTCATGAGAGAAAGGGAAAGAGAGAAAAGAGCTTATAAGCATGAAGACTGTAGGTTTCTTAATTCATTTGTGAAATATTTAATGATTAATTCACAACTAGCCTAACAGAAGGTATTCAAAAACATGTTAAGGATCCCTTTGTAAGGAACTGAATGACCACCAATAATTTATTATTCTATCAATATTCATTTAAGCTGTAGAGCAGTATTTTGGTTGAACTATTCAATTCACAAATAAGCACAAAAAACTTTGCATTGAAATGTGGGGCATCACTGCCACATTGCAAACCATTGCTACTTCTAAGGTATTTTCTTTGGTAAAATTAAGTCTACTCTATCTAGCTTGGTCTGACGCTTTACCTCCTTTGACAAAGTCCCTAAGTTCTTTTCCTTCCTTCTTTATGCCTGCATTTAAAGATGTCTATCTTGTGTACATTGTTCTTCTTTTGTCCTTCTCCTACTGTTAAGTAAGTTCTATCAGGCAGGATCTGCAGATTACTTATCTTTATATCTGTAGTGCGAAGTCCATTACCTAGGATTTAATAAATGCTCAACTAATGTCTGCTAAATAGGTAGTCCATTAAATTCATTTGGCTTGATATAATAAGCCATTTTTCTTCAAATATTAGATACTTTAAACATTTTGGAAGGGAAAAAAATGAAAAGGAAGGCCTCTGCCCCAGGATCAGTAATGATCTTGACTTTGTTGCATTTTGTTTCATTTTATAATACTTTTGAAACACCAGGAATAGAAACAAAGGATTTTGACTGTACTGAGGTGAACAAGTCTCATTTAGTAACCCCCTTTATCACTGCCTATTGGATGCCAGGAATGTGAATGAAGTGGTGTCATACCAGGCTCTAGCTTAATTAGCAAAAAGGTAGTAAAGTCTTAAGAGTCCTGGGCCCCTGCAAGCTCTACTGGTGATTTTCTCTGCTGATGAGGCATGTGACTTTCATGAAGTCAGCTAAGTAAATCTAACTTTCTTATTTGGCAAGTGGAAATAACAGCTCTCTTTTAACAACCTCATGGAGTTGAACCAATGAATAAAAAAGGTGATTTCTGTGGAATCATGTTGGCTCGAAAAACTGTCATTGAAGTACAAGACGTTATCTTGATGCACCACATAGAAGAGTAATGCTGGGAATCTCATCACTTATTTTAGATGAAGTATCTAGTATCTTCCAAGGGCAGTGAACTTCCAAATACAATGCAAAAGCTGCTTAAGCCACACTCTAAAATGGAGGCCTCCCAATACTGACAGTCATACTTCAGCTTAATGGTTATAGAAACTTTTCATACCCAAAGAACATGTCTTCTCACTTCTGTTATTACCAACATCTAACAGCATCCAGAATGGTATCATTCAATGAGGGCTTGTTCAAGATAACAATTAGCTTAAAAACTTGATAATGGGGCCAGGCACAGTGGCTGACACCTGTAATCTCAGCACTTTGGGAGGCTGAGGAAAGCGGATCACAAAGTCAAGAAATAGAGACCATCCTGGCTAACACGGTGAAACCCTGTTTCTACTAAAAATACAAAAATTAGCTAGGTGTGGCAGCAGGTGCCTGTAGTCCCAGCTACTCAGGAGTCTGAGGCAGGAGACTTGCTAGAACCCAGGAGACAGAGTTGCAGTGAGCTGAGATGCTGCCACTGCAATCCAGCCTGGGCAACAGAGTGAGACTTAGTCTCAAAAAGAGAAAAACAAAAAAAAAAACAAAAGAAACAAAAAAACAACTTGGTAATGGAAGGCAACACATTACAATGGCTAAAGTGTGGGTTCCAAACTTAGACTCCCTGTATTCAGAATCCAGCCCAACCACTTACTATGTATCTTTGATCAATTTACTTAACCTCTATAATCTTAGGTTTCTTCATCAGTAAAATGAAAACAATAACAAAGCCTCTGGCCCAGGGCGGTTCCCAGGATACAATTTAGGTAAAGTTCTAGCATAGTGTCTGATATATGGCAAGCACTACATAGATTCTAACGTATTGACTGATATTCATCTTTTTCTAAGATGCTTGAAATTGCACTCCTTTTACCATTGAATATTAAATGTGATAAATTTAACAGGCAGTGTGAAAGAATGGGTTACATGCAGTTTAGCCAAAAAGTAACAACGTCAACCCTGATGCTGTCTGGCCATATCCCATCATAATAATCTAATAAGTATCACAGGTTGATCATTGCATTAAGAACAGGAACCCCTGTTTTGGCACAGGGTGACCATCTCCACAGTCACGGCCCTTCCTCAGCCTGGCAGTTAAGCACACAATCACGTCTTTCTGTTTGCTCCTGTCCTTGTTCATGCTCACCAGGTACAAAGACAGGAGACTGGCCCAGCACAAGTCGGAAATAGAGTGTTTCACCCACAAAGGGAGTATGGGGAATGGTGGGAGAGCAACAATGAGCAGGTAAGAAAACTATGAGTGGTCTGAGGTGGTGTGAAATAAATGTATGCAAGCTAGAGGAACAGGTGGCTCCCTGGTCTGGGTCCTCACTTAACTGTGCATCCCAGACAGTGTGTCCAACTTGGGCCACTACTGGTTTTCTGTGTGTGTTTGCTTTGTAAAACCTATGACGTCCTCATGTGAAGTAATGGGAGCCTCCTGTCCCAGATGCTGCTGTTTCCCAGGGTTGCGCGCTTTGCATGTCTGAAGCCTTAGCTCACAGTCAGTCCTCCTCTGGGTTTTAACTTATTGGTCAAATGGTTCTGGAGTTTGCAAAGTGGAAGAGATTGGAGGAAACTCATATTCCAGGGCTATTCAATCACTTAATAAAAGAAATGCAAAAGCTTAGAACTGGTTTTAAGGAAAGGACTACAATTGAGGGAAGACTCCAGCCCCAATCCTGGACAAGCCTGGAAATTAATATGACTTACTTTGAAAGTAACATCATCTCACAGCCAAGTGCAAATGCCTTGCCAAACTAGTGGACTGTAGAGACACGTGGCTTTTCTCAAACTGAAATCAGGAAAGCTAATCCTCCTCTAGCTACCATAGCTTTGCATCTCCTTTACTTCCTTGTGTTGGTGATGAGCATTCTCTGTCGCTGTGCTGTGCATGTTCCTTTATACTAGGCACTCCCGACTGAGTTGTACCTAGTAAACCAGAGTATTTGGAACTATAAGCATTAGCTAAACTGTGTTGCATGAAATAAACGTGCTTTATTGCATGGGACTTGGTTTTGAGAAAAGGGCTCTGGAGAAAAAGACAGTCAAGATTGACATTAAACAGTTCCAGAATGTTGAAGGAGTCTTGGGTTGAGGAGTCACTTACCATGACTTAACTCTCCACCTCTAATTTGTTGTGGCATTTCCCAATCCATCTGTGGTGTAGGGGTATGGAAGGAAACTTTAGCAAATCATTCTGGATTGGAGAAAAGGAAAAATCCAGTAAGTAGAGTGTGTGCATATGCGTGTGCATGTGCTGAGAGCAGAGCTTGCCACCTAACTGCATAACAAGAAGAAAATCCTGTGGAAATTTCACCCCAAACATCATGTTTGCTTCCTCAGTGGTGGGCTCCTTCCTGTTTTGGAAATAAAGACTAAATTTTTCCAAGGCCCACCACATTGCACAACTGCTGGAGGACCATTCACATTGCAATCTATGAAATGGTGTCCAGAACTATTCAGCATACAGTCTGAGCAAGCATTCATAACAGCCCTGGCCAAAAGCTTGGACAGCTTTGTCCATGGCTCACAGAGACAGAGCAATGATAGTGGGTGTACGTGTATAGGCATTTATGTGTGCACATTGGTGTATCTGATGGCCTTATGCCAACAATCCCTCTGTATAGCTATCTTTGGATCTCAGTGTGTCTGCAAAATGAGCCCCAGAGGATCATTTTTTGTGAGTGACTCAACAGACTGCTGCTGGGGCTTCTATTTTCCTTCCACTTAGATATAACAAAGTAGCATAATTCCTGTCCTTGAAAATTAGGCAAACAGCACCAGAGTAAGCTGGACAAGGTGAAAGTGACTTCACCAAATGAGGGCTGAAGGGATGTTTCCAGAGTGACTTCTAATTTGAGGTATAAAAATGGAGTTCCCAAACCTGGCAAACTTAGCTGACTATCAAACCCACTGAGGCAAAATACGGGGCAATACAATGTAACAATCTGTCATGTAGCAAGTTTCCTAGGTCATCTCAATGAAGCCAGTGCATGAACTGGTATTTTAGTAATCTGTTCATCTAGGAGATGACATGGGGCTGTTTGTGGCAAGCGTTTGGTTTCAATTATGCTATGCAATGCTCTTAGCAGTGCTTAGTGAATGCTTAGAACTTCAGATCTGATCATCCCAGAAATCAGATTTGCTCAAGGCTGTCTTGATTGAGAATGGGGGAAAGGGTCAGAGAGGGTGCTACACAGAGAGTAGGAGATCCCAGATAAACACTCCAGGCTTCCTTGGGTCAGGTCCAGATACACAAAGGTAGCCATCTGATGTATCTCCAGAAAGAAACGCCTGAGTTTCTGTGCAACAGCAAGATATCATTTAATTTTTGCTTTCTCACCTGTTTGGATATAGCCAAGGTAATGAAAAGGCTTATTACATTGCTATATCCTTGTGGAACAAAGGGGAATCATGCAAGCTACAATAAATACAAGTCTGTTGGAGCAACCACCTCAGCCACGCAGATATGCAGAGTTAATTGGGAACAAATGATCTTCCCTTCCTAATATCTCTTCCTTCTCATTTCTTTAGCACTATATAAAAACACACTCTCTCTCTCGCTCACACACACACACACACACATGACAGAGAGAGAGATGAGAGGAGACATGTAGTACTTAAGCTTTCCCTGAAGAGTAGAAAAGGCCTAGAGACCTATGAAAAGAGAGGCCAAAATTCACAAGGCCTTGGTGTCTTTTTTTCCAACTTCACATTTGTTCATATAAATACAGACACACATGCATGCACACACGTAATATTTATCCAGAAGGAATAAGTTTAAAATGAACATTAAGAGAAAAGATGTCAGGGAGCAGATCACTGTGATGGAAACAGTTTCTAAGTAAGGGTTTGGAGTAGTTAATCCAAATTTGCTTACTCAGGAATTGAATGGAAGGGCTGGAGAAAGGTTAACTCTATGTAGGCGAGGCTTTTATAAGGTATTTTTAGGGTCAATAAATAAGGCTTTTTTTTGGAAATTCATCCCTACTCCACCCTCCATTGCTTCCAGGAGTCAAAGCCAAGCATCACATTTACTCTGCAAACATCTGGGACTCTTCTGTAGCCACTACTGAACAACCAGTTCCAGGGAGGAGCTAAGGGGAGCTCAAACAACCACAGAAAACCAAGAGTGTCACTCCACATTTCATTTGCCTGTTTTCTATAATAAAAATGTAGAATGGATAGTACTCTATGAATTCATGCCTAGGATGATTATCCCAGAGCCAAGTTGCCTGGTGGGGAAAGAAAGCATTTCACAATGTTTACAGTTGAAGCAGAGCAGAGCACATTTTCTGAACTGTAACATTAGACAGATGCTCTCTTACTTTTGCCCTCCTCCCTCAACCCTCATGCTGGGAAAGGAATGAGAATATAATAGTTGCCCATAGCACACTAGCTTCCTGAAATACGTTTCTGTTTTCCCTTTATGTGAAGAGGCTTTTTTTAACCTTATGTCTGAATATAGTATAACTTGTCATCTTTTCATATTTTCACAGTGGACAGTCTAAGTGTGATTCAGAGCAGAATCCTCCTGATTGCAGGAGAAGTGAAAAAGAGTCCTAAACAGGGAGGTGGCTGTAAGAACTGGAAATTATCTAAACCCTGTTACTGTGTGAGTTCCTAGCAAGATGGTCCAGCCTCAGGAATGACTGAAACCTCAACACTGAATGTTATTATCTTCTGTCTCAGCAGGGGCATGGCATTGGAGTACTCGGAATCTGTTTCCTGATGTGCTCAGGTTGTATAGCTCATGTAAGAGAAGCAAAGACATTCTGAGCCTCCTAGTATCTCTTTGAGAAACAGCTCCCTAAGTCAAATGAAATAAACCCCTAGTCCCCCTCCAGTGCCGGAGGAAGGAGGGTGGTATGGGTTATTTTTGAACACAGAAGAGAATTATTATTGTTATTCTTTTGTGATATAAGCTATGTGAACTACTGACTTTCAATCAGTTGAGTAACTGATTTTCACCTGCGATATGCAGCATCTAATTCTAGTAGGTATAATTGTTTAATAAAGCCTTAGAGAATTTGGTAAGAGTAATGTCATAATAAGTCCTTGTTAAATGGGTAGGACCTCGGATAGCCCCAAATATAATGTCATAAGACATTATAGGATTGCCTTTCATTCATTCGATTATTTCTTTCTTCAGGTAAAGCTCATTTATTAACCACCTATTAAGAACCAAGCACTCAAAAGACTCTAGAGAAAAATGGATGACCAAGATATGACTAATTCCCTTGAAAATCTGCAGTCTGTTGAGAAACAGTCAGAAAAACAGATAACTGCAATGTAATATAAAACCCCTCTAACACAGGAAAGTTTATGCCTTAGATAAAGTCCCCATTCTTATCATACACTATAGTTTATACCAGTATAAACAGAATTAAAAGTAATAGAATAATACATAATAACAGATCTAAATTGAGTATTCAGAAAGTATAAGGCATATAGTTATATAAAATTTAAAGTCCATAGATAAGAGAAAGATTCTGCCTGTCTAGTACAGACAGTAGAAGCCAGCTGGCTTTTTAAAATAGATTAGAATTTCTACAATAATCTTCACTTTATTTATCTCCAAAGTCAATTTCAAATTAATACTCTAACATATTCTAAAAAAGAAGAATTAGTACCATTGCTATGATTACTATGTATCAGACACTATACTTGTCCCTTCATGTATGTTATGCATTAAGCCCTCCCAAGAACATATAAAAAAGGGATACATTTTTCTTTCCATGCTACACACAGAGAAATGAGACTCAGGGAAATGAAATAACATACATAGTAGAGCAATCCCATGAAAAATCTAAAATCAAAGGAACTTCAATATCTGGTTCTGGCACTAGCCAGTGTGTGACCTTGAAGTGCCGTTTCAACTCTTCAATCTCCATTTTCTATAAAATTCAGTTTATGATATAGCACTTCTCTTACTAGGATGCTGTGAAAATTAAATGCAATTATATAAATACAGCATTAGCATACTACTTGACACACAGTAGGCATTCAATAAATTTTAGTATGTGCTCTTACTATCCAAGGCCACCCAGTTTGTTTTTTACATGTATACTATTTTGTCTTGTCTTTCTCTACCCTGCCACCATGGTCATTTGCTCAAAAATCAACTCTCAAAAAGTAAGTGAAACAAAATCTAATAATAACAAAAAATAAATAAATCCAATGATATAATTTCCCTGTTTTAAACTTCATGTTCTGCCATAGTTACCTATAAAAGCAGCCAAC